GTTCTCAAAAAATAAATGTAGGAAAAGAACAGGGTTTTAAAATTGTTTTCGAATTTTTTGGCAAGCCAAAACCTTATGTTTCTCTTCTTTCTTGTGAGACTTAAGGATTGTAACGTCTTGGATTACGGCTTATCTCCAATCTGCTTTGCTTCCGCAATAAAAGAGTACGTTACACATTGGTCACTATTAATGACCAATTGTGCTACAAGTTTTTAAAGCAGGTTATCCCTCCTTTTTTCTCATGAATTAAACAAGTGTTCTTTAGTTGCATGTTTATTCATGCATGGCATACTCCAAATTATTGGAACAAAAGAGGTTGTTTGGATTGTAATTGTTCAAGAGTTTGTGGGAAAAAATTACCGCAGTACTTTTTAAAATGCGATATATATGAAATAAAAAAGATTATTGGTAAATTTGTAAAAGCAATATTCACAAAAAATATTAAATTTTTCTCTAGAAAACAACAATACAAATATAGGGCATGAATTGCATTGCATTAGCATTGTATCAATGGTCTTATTGAATCCATGATTGTTGATTCAATGTATCGAGGGATAATTTTAAGGTTTCGGGCCTCTTTATGTGCTGAAATTTGACACGTACTCAGTTGCGATGACTTAGAAGGTCGTGATCAAATTTATAGTGTAATTCTATTTTGCCCTCTTAGTCTCTTAAGGACAACATAAAAAAGAGCTTATGGAAGTTGTCTTGTACCAGATAAATAATTCTTTAAATTATAATAAACATTATCAACAAAGTGAATTTTATTATATTATAGAATCATTTAATAAAAACCCTGAGGTGTTTATTTTTTGAAGTTCTATGTTGGTTTTTAAGTTGGATCCTTTAAAGTTGAAACCCTTAGTTGATATATGAATCTTTGGTGCAAAAATTGGACTGCCTTCTTTGTTCATTATTCATGAATAATATGTTGCATGTCTCAATTCGTCCATGACTTTAATGGCACAAATGAGTTCTTTTAAGCCAATTGGACAAAGGTTTGGCATTTATTTTGCACATAAAAGATTCAGTTTATAAATGCCTTACTTGGATTTATGTCGATTGACTTAAATGGTTTTGTCTGAATTGAATAATTCAATGGATTATTATAATTAGTCCCACTAAAGTGGTTATTGTTCTAATTCATAAAATTGTTCGATAAAAATTCTGAGGTCTTTTCAAATTATTATCATACTTACCTGCCAAAAAGGGATACATCTTTACTATACTAAAAGCGTCAGTTGGCTTAGCTACAGTGAAAATGGGCCGGTTATAGCGTGATTTGTGTGAGCTTGAGGGGTAGTTTGGTCTTTTGCCATTCAGTGGTGGTGGCTTTGCTGGAAATTTCCTGCTACCCGCGTGGCTTTGTTATGGGCACTGAATAGGGAGCCGCCGAATACAATAGCTACGCCTAACATGTGAAATGAGAAATTCCATTTCAACGAAAATTTTGCCACTTTGGATACATTGAGCCCAACAGAGATAGAGAGGCGAGAGATGGTCCTGCACTTGTGGCATCTACCTTTGACTTTGATTTTCAAACCCTCATCTTACCTTTTAAACATTTTCAGTATAGATTGTAGAAGAAACAACTTACCATGATGTGGACGAAATTCGTACTCATTTTTCGTAGCCATTTTGTTGACAATATTAATAAAACTCAAACCCATTGTTATAATGGCTCGATACTAGAGGTGATAAATCAACCCACCTAATTAAATTTACCTATACCCGTCCATGAATAGATGGTATAAGTTCAAAATTTTTGAATTAAATTTTTATATTAATTTTATAGTACTTAGTTCAAATTTTTATATTCTTATTATTCAATTATTAAATAATAGATAATTTTGTAACATAGAGTATAAATGAAAAAAAATTGGTAATTAAATTTATTGAATATTATAAATAAATATTTAAAACTAATAATGGGTACAAAGAGTGTATAAATTGATAACTTGTTTTGCAAAAATAAATTTAAATGAGTTTACCAAAAGTTAAAATAAATAAGTTGTAAATGGGTAATTGATTACACAATTCATTTTTTGACTTACCCATTTATACCTATCTAATTAAATGGGTATAAATGAGTTAATTTACTTATACCCATTACCCATTTTATCTAACCCAAATTCGTACTCATTTTTCGTAGCCATTTTGTTGACAATATTAATAAAACTCAAACCAATTGTTATAATGGCTCGATACTAGAGGTGACAAATCAACCCACCTAATTAAATTTACCTATACCGGTCCATGAATAGATGGTATAAGTTCAAAATTTTTGAATTAAATTTTTATATTAATTTTTATAGTGCTTAGTTCAAATTTTTATATTCTTATTATTCAATTATTAAATAATAGATAATTTTGTAACATAGAGTATAAATGAAAAAAATTGATAATTAAATTTATTGAACATTATAAATAAATATTTAAAACTAATAATGGGTATAAAGAGTGGTATAAATTGATAACTTGTTTTTGCAAAAATAAATTTAAATGAGTTTACCAAAAGTTAAAATAAATAAGTTGTAAATGGGTAATTGAGTTACACAATTCATTTTTTGACTTACCCATTTATACCTATCTAATTAAATGGGTATAAATGAGTTAATTCACTTATACCCATTACCCATTTTATCCAACCCAAACCCACCCAAGTCACCCATTTCAACACCTCTACTCCATACTTTATATTCAAGCCCAACATTTTTGTTTTCCCACTTTAGCTTTCTTGCTTTGTTTTACCTTGAGAAGCAAGAATTTTCATGATAAACTGAATTTGTTCTTCACTACGATTTCCCTTGTGTTCCAACAAAGGAACGTTTAACTTAAAATAAATATTTCAACCAGGGGAAAAAAAACCAGTTTAAAAACAACTACATATAACGGTTGAAATCAATCTGAGTGTATCACTCCATCCCCCCTCTTTTCTTTTATAGTGTAAGTGAAAGAAGAGCTCGTTACTCTGTCTCACTATGTCTATTGATCCTTCGTTTTACTGCAAAAGCTTGATGAACAATACCGTAAAACACAGTACAAGTTTGAACTTATTCTCGAGAAATTATGCCTTCCCGCGAGAAAGAAGCAAAAAGTTGAAAATGATGAAATAGTAACATGCAATTGCATATTTCATCATAGAAACTAGCAAGACAAGCAGCCACAGACCGTGGTTCACGCACAATCAAAATAATATATTGCATGAAAAAGAAAAACAGAGGAGAGAGGACCATGGGGCTATTAGCATTGAACCTCAACATCCGGTTCAACAAAACAAAGGAGCAACAAACATACGAGCTTAAGAATAAGTTAAAAGGAGAAACATCTACATATTTGTGAAAGGGGTGATCTTGATGACTAACTCAGGGAAAACATCATCTGGATCATGAATATGGAGATTCTGCTCAAAGATGTAAGGATCCCCACATTTTCCACTGATAGTATGCAGAGTCTCTCCTTCACGTACCGCATGAATCTCATCACACGGCTGTTCAAGTAGTAATGAAGATAATATTTGCTGCTTCTACTGTTGCACTTCAAACTCCTCCTCAGTTGATTCACAGCAGCTTAACACCAACTTTAAAGCCAGGAACAAGGCACAGTACCAGAACACAATATCTGCTAGAGCTGTCGATGGATGAATGCGGCCTGACATGTTATGCTTTAAATTTAACTCTTTCTCGAATTCGCAGCGACAATTGTTCTCTCTCTATCTCTCTCTATAGCAAGTATGTGCATGCACGTGTACCACAAAATTATCTCAAGTGGAGGAGAGTATTTGCAGGACTCATAGTATTGAGGATCAGCAGGAGTTAATGTTGTTGTTGCGAAGTAAGCTAGAGAGATGATGATGTTTGATTTGACGTGATAATCGTTTTGGAGTACAAATGCAGGTCATTAGAATGGTTAGACAGCAGTGTTCCTGCTAGAGGGACAAGATTGAAACGGGTTCGTTTCTTGCGGATCGTAGGTAACTGTCTCAAGTGAAGAAATATTGGAACATATGAAATGAAGGAGAGAAAGTTCGTTGAACTACTTTATTAAATGGTAGTGAATACTTGAGATATCTCTTGATCATAATTAAGAAAGCAATCATTCAACATTTTTTACTTGCTCTCGAGTCTCAAGTTTCAACCATCCTTCGCAGCACCATCCTCGAAGATGAACAAAATTCTTGTGCCTTAATCAGTCAACCGTCGTTACAAAAGAGTTAGAAAAAAATTTCCAATACGGTCAATCCCTACTCGATCACGCTTCTTGATAACTACCTGAGGGTACGAGAGACCTCTAGATTCTTTCCCCGTCCGACGTTTTCATTTTTCTCTGTATCATCCAGCAGCTTCGTCTGGTCTCACGATTCCAATTAGTTTAATACAACAATTTCCTAGATTTCATCTATGACCTTTCTTTTAGTCAAGCAACACACAAACGGTTTTCTGATATACTGATATTATGAGCAATCACTGCTTCCTTTTGAGCTCTGAACCAGCAATATGACCGCTTTCTTCGCAGTAAAAAGATCAAAGTTGTCAGATTCTTCCTTCTAAAATTATTGATCTCCTTTTTCATAAACTCACATCAACAATGTAATTCCAGTGTGACTTAATCTTTTGTAAAGTTTAAACCCATACGTATTATAAACGACCTATCACTACAACAAAATTTGCCTTTAGCGGCATTTAAAGGTGTTAGTATAGATAATCTAACCTGACACTTTATCTATCCTTACACCCAGGGTGAGTGTTGTCCCTTCCAATGTGGGGATAGACTTGTACTATTCAATGTGTCAGGAAAACTATGCTATTATAGCATCCCATCTGCCAACAAAAATCTCTTTTCTTAACAATCAAAAGTGTCAGGATATTGTCGAAGTCGTTGAGCTATGCTGACACTATTAACTGCCAGCAGTTTTTTTTTTTTTTTTTAAATAAAGAAGCAACCTGGTTGTGCTCCCTGCTATACATTCCGTCAATCAGATACCCAAAGGACTTGTAAAATTATCCCAAAGAACAGAATGCATGTAGTAATTTAAAAGCAAAAATCAATGCTCAAATATCATTTGTTGAACTAAAATCAGCAACAAGTACTAACATAGCTAATCAAAAGCCAAAACCAACACCAGCTAATGTAACTAATTATCTACACTGTCAGTATATAACAACCAAAACCAACATTTAAAGTTCCAAATAGAAGTTCCTTTATCTCTGGAACCTTGGTGCTCAATGCGTTGTTAAGCAAAGTCTTGAACAGGAGCAGAAAGCTTTAGTTCATGTACAGCTTGGAAGTAATCTGCGGCTGCTTGTTTCAAGCCTTGAGACTTGGATAGCACTCCAAGAAGGAACCACGCATGGTGGTTTGTCGGCTCTAGTTAGAGAGCAGTCATCAACAAGCTTCTTGCAATAGGAAGATTCTGTCTACCCAATTTTATCAGCACTCCAGCACTTGAGACAATGCTTGGTACATAATCTGGCTCTATGGAGAGTGAAACTGAGAATGCAACAAGAGCTTCCTTGTATTGTTCTTGAGCTTCAAATGATTTACCTGCAGATATAAACGCATCTTGTGATAATCAAAGGATATGAATAAACGCATCTTACTTTTTTTTTAATTTTCGCAACTTCTTTTAAAATTATACATCATCTTACATGTTCTGAATCACTTATTAAATGTTGTTATTTCTGGAATTGGTTAAGCGAAATCCCAGCTAACCACTTTGTCAGTCACTTAAATAAAACAGGGGATTTAATTGAACAGAAGGAAAGAAGAAAAGTGCGGTAACACTTCCAATAAGGACACCATATCAATTTCCAAAAGACAAAACTAAAAAGACTATAATTCAGAGTACAGAATAATTGCATTGGAACGCCCTGAGTTAACCTTTTCTGAAATGGCATTAACCAAACATGCATCAAGATAGTATGAACTTAGACAAAAGCAAATAATCATCTGCAACAACAAAACAATGCATCATTAAACAATATTGTTGTGAATCCAATTGTATCATTTTGTTGCCTTTATGATGGCCTGTTCTTGTACTACATATATATGTTTGAAATAAAGTGGTTTATTTTATTTTATTTTATTTTCTGTTGGATTCCAAGTTCGTTTTCCTCTGATTGTCTTAAATAAGCATTGGTGCTCGAGAACTATTTGGTACACTTGATTGCCTATATTTCAGGTGTGAGATTTTGGTTTATCTCTGCTTTCCATTCAAATAAGCATGTTGATTCACCTGCTCCTGCATAGTGGCATTGCGTCTATGCACGGGCTTTTTCTAGAAAAGAAGATGACCATTCTACTTCTTTTATAATCTCAAGCAATAAGTACACATCTTTCTGGAGAAAGTCAGTAGTTACTCATTGGGTCTAAAGAACACGAAACGTATGGAAAATTGATCACGAGATAGCAAGACAGTTCAAAATCAAAGTAAAAGTCAAACTTCGAGTGGCCACATTTCTCAAAAGAAATTAAAATCTTTTATAGTTCCAACTAATTACGTGTTCATATATGGACCGAATAATATTGTATAAGGAAAACGAAGCAGTGACAAACCTAAGGAAATCGTACCCTTCTTGGCAATTGAAGGAAAGAACGAGGGGGAGAAGCCCAATGGCCACCACCCCAGTGAGCTGGGAACCTGACGATGAGTGGGAACTCATCAACGATGACGGTTTCGTCTACAAACATAGGAAACGTCCTCGTGTCGACCTTCCTTCCTCTACTTCGGCACCGGGACTATCGGATCCGGCCGTTGAAGAGCAGAACCGCCGGCAAAGGAAGAAAAGAGCTCTTCTCAAGCTCAAACACAAGTACCAACAAGAGATCGAACAGTGGGTACATTTGTCGAACACCTTGAAGGATATGCAGCAAAAATCCCCAATTGTTATTAGTCAGCATAAAAAATCCCCAATTGTTATTAGTCAGCAGCAAAAATATCGACAACCGATGACGCTGCTACGTCGTCTTACCGAGTCACAACGACTTCCCCAGTCCCTCCGGAACAATCGTCGGACTCCGCTTGCCAGCATCTTGTCAATGAACTTCTCTTGCAGACGGAAGCCCAAAAATCTATAATTGGAGATGTAGCAAGGCTGTGCGATGTGGCCGAAGCCTTGTGTAGCGCAACAGAGGAGAATTTTACGAAATCCTTCACCGAGCTGCCGGTATGGGCGTTGAAGCCACATGAGCTGATGACGTCACTCTACGAAGATTGATTTAGTTCAGGAGTAAAATGTCTTTTTAAAGTTCCTTCTTCTACTCTATTACAGACTTCTCTGAGATCCAGGAAGGCCGAAAGGGGGAGATGACCAAGAAACCCTTGGGTTGGGCACTTGTCCATAGCTGCTCTTTTGGAGGAAAAAATACGATAAAAAACGCCATGCCATGGGCCTTCTCACTCCAGAAATTATGTGAAATTTTAAAGAGATTCGAGTTGTATAATATGACTGGTTTGATTGCTATCCTTTCTGATTAAAAAAAAGGAAAGAACGAGAAGAAAGAGAAGAATATGTAATAATTTAAATGAGAAAGAAAAAGGAAGGATGCGATGAGGGATTGGAGATTGGAGAGCCAGAGGAAGAAAGGAAAGCAAGAGCGGCGGAGGAGAAAACAAGAGGTGAACTTGTGTTTGCCCTACTTAGGGAAGAGAAGAAAAAAGGAACACGTGCACCTCACATGAGTATGACGAAAAAACTTGTGAACAGTAACATTTTTTCAAGTGTCATAATAAATAGTCTAAAGACACATTATTATTCTTATATCAGATAAAATTAAAAAAATTAAAGTATATATTATTGAGTTGATAATAAGTGTCATAATAGAGGTACTATAATGACAAAAAACCAACAAATGTCCTTATAGACATGTCAGGAAAAGCCATTTTTGTTGTAGTGTATATTCTTATGTGACAACACAGTACCGAAACACTATGGTTTCTTTTGTTTACGCATCTGACATTTTTTTCATCCAACGTTTTTAAATAAGAATCAGTTGATCTTCATTCTACATTAAATGTATATATCTATATACATACACTGATACATCTATACCTTCTATACAAAAAGACTTTCTAATTATCGAATGCAATCATATTACCAATTATCATCGTTTAACCTACTCCATAAAATTAAATTAAATTAACACAAGTTAGGGCAACCTCGCGCTAGCGCGAGGCCTAAAAAACTAGTTATTTTAAAAAGGTCAGACGATCACCATGGTACTTTTATGGTCACTAGTAATTATATTTCACGTGCAAAATATAACACCTTCTACATACTAAAATTTGTTGTGAAATTTTGATTATCTACCTCATAATACAAATTTTTGTATGCTTTTCAGTTTTTTTTAACCCACTATGGCTATAAAGATTATTCAAATTTAAACTCTTCGACCTAAAGCTTTTTTTGAGCATTTTTTTATTAATTTTAAATTGAACTTTGATAACAATTGTCAACACTATCATATTTTACCATAAATTATAAGATTACACTTTTCTAGATAGTACAAAATAATGCTGTTAAAAAAGGAAATATATATGCACACGTCAAGTGTAGAAGAAGCAAATCTAATCTTGTGAGTGTTAGTAAAGTAAATATTTAAAGACCCATTAGAGTACTACATGAATTGATTTCTTAGATCATTGTCATTTATCAACCCGAGGTCCATATGTGTCTTTTCTCAATTGAAAATAAAATCTGCGATGGACTTTTTAGTAAAATTATCAAAGTTTAACAACTTAGAAAACTAAGATTTGAGTAAATTATTAAATACTTACAATATCGATAAGATTATTTTTTTTTGTTTTTCTTGTTTCTTTTTGGTTAAGACAAACAAAATTTAATTGTAGAATTACAATTTATTGATTATTTAAGAACAAAGCACATGAATAGTATTTGTTTTTTCTTCATACTCGAGTTTTCTACAATTTTCATTTCACATGAAATCTAATTCTTAGTATGGTAGACATTATTATTTTTCATGTCATATGAGTAAAATTAGTTAGCTTTTTAATGAGGTTCTTTTAATATGAAGTGAAATACACTATCTTTAAATTGTTTGCACCATTTTTTAACTCTACAATTAGGCATAACATCGTGCAATCAAAACCCAATTACTAACATTATTGAAGCAATTGGTAACATTTCACCTTTTATTCTAATTACTAAGAGAGTAATTTTCATCTTAATTACTAACATTATTGGAACAATTAGTAATATATCAATTTTTATTCTAATTAATATTAATTTGAGTCAAATGGTAACATTTCATTTATTTCATTAACACCATAACCAATTAGTTAGGTTTTTGATGAAGTTCTTCAATATGAAGTGAGATGCACTATTTTTAATTTGTTTGCACCATTTTTGGATTGTATACATATATTGTATATACAACTTATACAACTCTACAATTAGGCGTAACATTGTGCAATCAAAACCCAATTACTAACATTATTGAAATAATTGGTAACATTTCAGTTTTTCTTCTAATTAATAAGAGAGTAATTTTCATTTTAATTACTAGCATTATTGAAACAATAGGTAACATTTCGGTTTTTATTCTAACTACTAACATTATTGAGCTATTTGGCATTGTTTCATTCATTTCATTAACACCATAACTGAAAATGAATTAATTCTAATTATTAGTCAGTCATGCTAAAAACTAAGACAAAAAATGCAAATGAACAGTATTGTTTTATTTATACTTGAGTTTTCTATAATTTTTGTGTCACATAAAATCCAATTCTTAGTATGGTAGGCGTTATTATTTTTCAAGTTATATGAGTCGAATTATTTAGCTTTTGGAGGAAGTTCTTTAATATGTGTGAGATGCTCTATTTTCAATTTTTTGCACCATTTTTTAGATTGGAAGCAAATATTGTATATTCAACTTATACAACTCTACAATCAAGCTAACATTGTGCAATCAGAATTCGATTTCTAACATTATTGAAACAATTGGTAACATTTCAGCTTTTATTCTAATTACTATGAGATTAATTTTTATCCTAATTAATAACATTATTGAAACATTCGGTAACATTTCAGTTTTTATTCTAATTACTAACATTATTGAGTCAATTGGTAACATTTCACTGATTTCATTACTACCATAACTAAAATGAAATAATTCTAATTATTAGACAATGGGTACTTTGGTCATAGTAAAAACTAAGACAAAAAATGCTTAATTCAACTTACTTCAACCACCTTATCTTATCTACTAAATCTACCATTGTTTATTAATTATATTCAAAATCCTTATCTAATTAAACAACTTGATATTCTCTGTCTAATGGCTTTATATGTCTCTTCTCTCTCTATTTAATGACTTTCACAACTTCTCTATACACCTCATATATTTTTACTCTATCATAATTTTATCATTTTCTATTTTTCTACTCTTTTAATTAATTTGATTTAAAAATAATTATTATCATTTTCATGCCTAACAATTTTAAACTAATTAAATCATAGGTTATATTTTTTTTTTGGATGAAAAGATAGAAGGGAAAAATTGTACAATTTAGCTTATTAAGCATTCAATTATAGATGTTTATCAAAAAGTATAAATAGGTTCAACATTAAGATTCAGACATTCATATATTTTTTTCAGTGCTTAAAATTCAGCAAATTAACTGTTTCAGTATTCAGATTTCAAAATTCAGATTCAGTTTTATCAAACAGAACCTAAATCATCAAGCAATGAATCAACAGGAATAATAAAAATGCAGAAAAGTAAAAGGTGTGAAACACCAAGATTTTTAATATGAAAATCCAATTTGGAAAAAAAATCACATGATCTAATCCAATAAAAAAAAATTTCACTGTCACAATAATAGGAACAATAATACGAATGCATAGGTCTATCTGAAACATTAGGATGACAGCAACATCATCAACATCAACCAAATAGAATTTCTACCAGTTCATTTTCTATTTTTTAAGAAGTGGATTTGAAAAAGTATTATCAATCAAAGAGAAAATCCAAAATCAAAAGAGATAGATAGGTAAAGCTTGACAAAGGATCAAATGGCTAAAATTTCATCTCAATCGAATTTTAAATCACCATGTCTTAAAGTTTCAAAACTTCATATTCTCTCTGGCCCTTTTTCTCCCCAACTCTCTCTTTCGCTCCCTTCGATTCTTCACCAAGAATAGCGGCTGACCCTTCATCTAGCTGATGCAACTTGCGAGTTGCGACTAATCTTTTCTTCTCATCAAGTCAAAATACCTAGGTTACTAATCATTTAGTCAAACTTTGACTCAGCATACGAATTGAGTTATGGGCTTTGTTCTTTGGGGCTCACAAATGAGGTGGATTCAATCAAGCCCAACAATCTCCTCTCCAATTCATTTGAGAGGCACAACCAAATTGCCTCTTTACAAAACAAGAGTTTCTTCCAAAACAATGCGTTGATTAACATATCAAAATCATTATTATTAATGTGAATTTTTTCAAGTATTAACAACTTGGAATCCAGTATTTTCTGAATCCAATGATATCTCATATCAATCTGCTTGGATGGAGAGTAAAATGTAGAATTCTTATATAAATGAATGGTACTCGAACTATTACAATAAAGACTTTACTTCCCTTGCTTCATACCCAACTTTTAAAAGAATTTCTTCAACCAAAGAGTCTCTTTGTATGTTTCAATGGTTGTGATATACTCTGCCTCCATATTGAAAATGGCGATATATTTTTGTAATTTTTTTTTGCCATGACACTACTTTTTTTTTTTTTTTTTTTGCAAAAAATGCCTTATTTTATTGATTGGAAACTAGAAGAGTACATGCTATGAAATACGTAAGTAAGGAAAACTCAATCTATCTAAGACGACGAAGCCTTTAACTGGGTCTAGCAAATTTTGGGAGCAATAAATATCAGACACGCGGTTTGCACTGGCGCGACGAGCAAGGCCATCGGCGGCAGAGTTAACTTCCCGATAAATGTGGAGGAGGTGGAAATGCCCTTCTTGAACTATGCGCCAGATTTGTCAAATCAAAGCATCAATGCGCCATGGACAGCGAGTCTGCCTGCGAACCGCATCGAGTAGGGGTTTAGAGTCCATCTCTACCATAGCCCTGGTATGGCCTTGTGTAGCGCAAGCCTAGAGACCATACAACAAAGCATGTGCCTCGGCCTCCAGACTAGTGCAGTGGCTATAATACATGGAAAATGCGTGAAGGACACAACCCAAGTGATCCATGAGGATCCCTTCCCCGCCGAAGGGGCTCGGGTTTCTTAAGGACGAACCATCCACGTTTAGCTTGATGAGAGGAAATGCCGATGCCTGCCAAGTGAGGGTAGAACTTTCGGGGGAGCTTGAGGGTTTTAGAAAGGAACCAATCCCGTAGAAAGGAGTGTTGTGTCCTCTGCCGTCCGATGTGGCAAGGGCCAAGCAATAGAAATGGCATGAACTTCCACAAGAATTTGACGGCAGTTATGGGAAGCAAATAGAACTGTCCCCTCAAAAAATTGAAGGTTTTGTGCTTTCTAGATTTCCCAGCATATGATGGAAGGTAAGACGTACAAAAGAGTGCCAGTTGTTGAGGAGGCAGAGGCGCGAGTCTAAAAATTCTGGGGGCGAGCTAATACGTCGATATGGCGCACACTCGGGACATCCAGCAAACATTCAAAGAACCCCAGACTTAGGAGAACAGAATGAACAGGTGGTCTATTGTCTCGCTGTTGCTACAGAATGAACATTTGGAAGGCAAGTTAAATCTTAACCCCTCAAGGACATCAGCTAGTGGGATTGTTTGATTCAGGAGTCGCCACATGAAAATGGATATGCGTAGCGGGATGCGAGAGCTCCAGATGTATCTCCTGGAAATCATAGTCAGACGCCGTTGGCAGATGAAACTAAAAGCAGATGAAACAGAGAAGTGACCAGAGGCTACAGGACACCACACTAGCTCATCCTGGGCCTCATTAGTCAAGGTAAATTGCCGAATATGAGTTTGCTGGCTGTCGGTAACAAAGGACGGCAATGTGTCCAAATGCCATGTTCCAGCGTTATTGAGATCAGAGATTCGCGCCCCTGGGGTTGGCAGGCCTGCTGGGCCGTCTACCAGTGGCCCCTCCCCTAACCAGTTGTCAAACTAGAAGGAGGATGAGCCGTCGTGCACTAGTAGATGAGAGTTCTCAATCACTACATCCTTGGCGCGGAGCATGCTTCGCCAAACCCATGAATCCGATTGTCGGGGCGTGCACAAGGAGGCATGAGGCATATCCCTTGTATATTTTGCTGCCATGAAGTCCGCCTAGAGGGAGTTGCCCGTCTAGAAGTTCCATCAGAGCTTGCACGCAAATGCCTGTTGAACATCCCCCAACTTCCGAAACCCAAGGCCATTTTCTTCCACCGGGTAACATAGTTTGTCCCAGGACAGCCAGTACCGTTTGGGCGTCTCCTCAGTTGCCCCCCAAAAGAAGTTGGACATTAACTGCTCCAATTGTTTTAACACCCGTTTCGAGGGGTCGAGCACTGCCAATGTGTACAGAGGAATAGCCGCCAGCACGTGCTTAATTAGTATCATTCTGTCTCCCGCAGATAGTAGTTTACCCTTCCATCCCACTAGTCGCTTATTCAGATTGTCGACTAGGGCTGGAAGTAAGAAGCTTTTGTCCTGCTTGCAAATAGCTTGCATCCCAAGTAGTCTATTAGGAGCCGCTTGCACTGCATTCCAGTAATGGAGGATACCAGCCGCACGTGAGCCATGGAACACCGGCGAGGCAGAACATAGACACTCTTCATCGTGTTCACCTTTTGACCTGATCCGCATTCATACAGTGCCAGAAAATCCATCAAGCCCTAAGTGATTTCCTATCCGCCCTACCAAAAATCATATTGTCATCCGCAAAGTTCAAATGGGAGATGGACGGATACCTTCGCGGCAACCCGTAACTAGTGATCTTCCCAGACAAGAAAAGCTGATTTAGACCCCTACTCAGAGCTTCGGCGACCAAATTAAATAGGTACGGCGACAACGGATCTCCTTGCTTGAGCCCACTCGAAACAGGGAAGAAACCGTAGGGCTTCCCGTTAACCAGCAGGGAGAACCGACCGGCAGACAAGTTGCTCAAGAGCAGGACGACAAAGTGTGGTGAAAGCCAAAAGCTTGCATAACTCTAGACAAAAATGGCCAAGAGACCCTGTCGAATGCCTTTGTCATGTCCAACTTAAAGATGATATTGTTTTCACGTACCTTCCTATCCAAGGAGCCCACCAACTCCTGGGCCAATAAAATGTTGTCCGCAATTTCCCGACCTTGAACAAAGCCCGATTGCTCATTCGAGATTAGGGATGGCAGTACCGTTTTCAAGGGATTGCAGAGCACCTTGCTGAAAATTTTGTTAACGAAGGTGCACAAGCTAATCGGTCTGAAATCCGCAAAAGAGCTGCAAGCGTCCTTTTTTGAGATGAGAACTATGAGCATGCGTGAAATGGACTTGGGAATAGGAACCCTAATAAGGAACTCTTGGACCGCATTGTGGATGTCTTGGGCTAAGAAGTCCCAACAGTGTCGGAAGAATAGTCCCGAGAACCCATCTGCACCAGCTGCATTGTCCCCATTAACCCAAACACCGCCTCCTTGACTTCCTCTAAAGACACCATTCTTATGAGCCCGTCGTTCTGCTGCGGCGTGACTAACAAAGGAATATTGAGCAGTAGTTGTTGTGTCGCTTGCTCCTCCACTTGAGCTGCAGTGGGGTTGACCTGGTCCCTGGATAGAAGGGCCAGAAAGAAATCTACCCCCTCCTCACAATTGCATCCAAGTCTTCAATCTAATCCCCTCTCGCGTTTTTGATGCGGCTGATGCACAAACGCGCTCTTTTATCCCGGACATACGAGTGGAAAAACTTTGAATTGGAGTTGCCATCCTTTAACCATTTGACCCAAGCCTTCTGCTTCCAGAAAATCTCCTCCTGTGCCAAAGCTTGGAGGAGGTTTGCCTGGGCATGGCTCCATTCAATACGGGCTGCTTCTGTATTCTCTTGCTCCAGGCATATTTCTTTCCGACGAACTCTCTCCTCTGCTTATGCTACATTGTCGAAGACGTTACTGAAGACAGTTTTGTTCCAAGTCTGCAGGCACTTCTTCAGACGCTTTAGTTTGCCTGCTAGAGCATACATGCCATACCCCTCAAATGGCAAATTCCAATTCTGGTAGACTACCTCCCTGAAAGCGGAATGCCTAACCCACATGTGTTGGAATCTGAATGAGGTCGGAGTTGGTCCGGGAGGGTTGTCGAACATGCAAAGAAGGGGCGAGTGGTCCGACGACGTGGGTTGAGGTGGTGAACGTAGAGCCGTGGGAAGCAACTGCCCCATTCATCATTATACAACACTCGGTCCAATGTCTTCCAAATCCGCCGCCCGTTGCGAGTATCCGACCAAGTGTACTTACTCCCTATCACTTGCACTTGCTTAAGCAAGCAGGCATGAATGAAGGAGTTGAAATCTGCCATCGCACCCGTGTCTTGGGGGAAGTGCCCGAGTACTCATCTAGTGAGGTAATGATATTGAAGTCTCCCTCCAAGAGCCATGGGCGGCGGCCAATCGTTTGATGTATCTCTGATAGTGCTAACCACAATTCCTGGTGCTCGCGTCTGGTGCATTTCGTATAAACAAAGGAGCAATGAAAGGCAGTCGGGATAGACTCGTGGGTGACTGCCAAGTGGAGGATTGGTCACCGTTGCTGAGCACATGCATCGCAAACGAGCGTGACCAGCAAACCGGGGCGTCACACTTTGAGTCCTCCATGCCAAACCTTTTCAGCAATTTCTTGGTGTATTTTTCTTGATTTATAAAAATTCCCTCTAGGGCTTGATGTATTTGAAGTCCAAGGAAGAAATTTAATTCTCCCATCATACTCATTTCAAATTCACTTTGCATAATGGTGGAAAAATCCTTGCATAGATACTTATTAGTAGCACCAAAAATAATATCATCTACATATATTTGCACAATAAGAAGATCATTTAACACTTGCTTAGTAAAAAGTGTGGTGTCCACAATACCTCTTTTGAAACCATTTTCAATCAAGAAACCACTCAATCTTTCATATCAAGCTCTTGGAGCTTGTTTTAGTCCATATAATGCTTTTGAGAGTTTAAACACATGACTTAGAAATTTTGTATTTTCAAAATCGGGGGGTTGATCCACATATACTTCTTGATCAATAAAACTATTTAAGAAGGCACTTTTAACATCCATTTGAAACAATTTGAAACCTTTGAAGCAAGCAAAAGCAAGAAGCATTCTAATCGATTCTAATCTAGCTACGGGAGCAAATGTTTCATCAAAATCAATTCTTTCTTCTTGTGCATATCCTTTAGCAACTAATCTGGCTTTATTTCTTACAACTACACCTTTATCATCCAACTTATTTCTAAATATCCACTTCGTGCCAATGATAGGTTGATTTTGAGGTCTATCAACAAGTGTCCAAACCTTATTTCTCTCAAATTGATTAAGTTCCTCTTGCATTGCCAAAATCCAGTTTTCATCCTTTAAAGCATCATTGATATTTTTTGGTTCAAAAAGAGAGACTAAAACAAAATTGTCTATCAATTTTTTAGATGAGGAACGAGTCTTTACCTTCTCGGATGGATCACCAATTATAAACTCTCTTGGATGATTTTGGCTAAATTTCCAAGCATTGGAAAGGTCTTTGAATGAATCATCATTCTTGTCTTCATCTTCCTTTTCTTGATCATCATGAGCCTCATCCTCCATTTCCTTTGCTGCTGGTTTAGAGTTTCCCTCATCTCCAATTGTTAGCTTTTCCATTCCTTCACGAACACCTACATCATCATCCTCACACGAACTTTTGGAATTATCATCATTAGTTTCATCAAATGTTATGTGTATAGCTTCTTCTATCACAAGAGTTCTTCTATTAAAGACTCTATATCCTCTTTTGTTATCACAATACCCCAAAATATTCCTTCATCAGACTTTTTATCAAACTTACCAAGATGTTCCTTTAAATTCAAAATAAAACATTTGCAACAAAAAACTTTGAAATATCCAACCGTAGGTTTCTTATCAAAAATCAGTTCATAAGATGTTTTATTCAAAATAGGTCTCAAGAGGATTCTATTCATCACATAACATGCGGTGTTTACCGCTTCAGCCCAAAGATATTTTGGCAAACTACATTCATTCAATATAGTTCTAGCAACCTCTTGGAGTGTCCTATTTTTCCTTTCTACAACACTGTTTTGCTGTGGAGTCCTTGCAATAGAAAACTCGTGTGTTATGCCATTATGATCACAAAATTCTAGAAAACCACAAAACTTGAATTCTGTCCCATTATCACTTCTAATCTTAACAATTTTTAAACCAAATAGATTTTGCACTTTAGCAAACAGTGAAGTAAAATTCTTGACGGCATCATCTTTATGAGCAAGAAATATCACCCAAGTATATCTAGAATAATCATCAACAATTACAAAACAATATCTCTTACCTCCCAAACTAGTAATTTGAGTAGGACCAAATAAATCAAGATGCAAGAGTTCCAAAGGTTTAGAAGTTGATACACACTTCTTTGGTTTAAAGGAAATTTTTTTTTGCTTCCCAAATTGACATGCATCACAAATTTTGTCCTTTTCAAAACTGATTTTTGGCAAGCCTCTAACCAACTCCTTTTTCGAAATTTCCTTTAGTAAATCCATGTTAAAATGACAAAGTCTCCTATGCCACAACCAAGGATCTTCATTTGAAGCTTTAAGACATTGGAAGCTAGATGAATCAAGTTTATCAAGAACAACAATATAAATATCGTTAAACCTCTTACATTTGAACACCACATTATATTTAGAGTCAAGTACAATGCATTCATGTTTTTTGAACAACACATTCAAGTCTTTATCACATAATTGACTAACACTAAGCAAGTTATAACCTAAGTTATCAACTAAGAGCACATTATAAACAAAAGTTCCACCATCCTTACCAATATCACTTATTCCAATTGTCTTAGCTTTCACGTCATCACCAAATGTCACCTTTCCACTTGATTTTGATTTTAGCTTTATGAACAACGAAGGATCACCAGTCATATGCCTTGAACAGCCACTGTCAATGAATCATTTTGACTTGTTTGAACCTTTTCCCTGAAAAGAGAGAGTGTTTGGTATCCTTTAACTTTTGGGTCCTCATTAGTTAGCATTGTGTCTAACTATCCACATGCATTTCCCTCATTTGTTCAGATTTCTTTTCACATAACAATCTCCTTTCAAATGCCCTCTTTGACAACAAAAACTACACACAATGGAAGAGTCTTTAGTATGTAATGGTTTGATAAATCTCAATCCACTCCTTTTATATATTGTGAAACTATGTGCAATTTTGTTGTCTGCTAATGTTCTTTTATGAGCAATAAGAGAAGTGATTGACATGTTCTTTTTGAGATAATCTTGTTTTCTAGTTTTTAAGATCTCATCCAAATTGTCCATCCTTTTATTCAAATCACCATGTCTTTCCTTTAATTTTTCACAAACACTTGTCTTTTTATCAAGTTCATTTTGAACATCACATCCGGCTCTTACAAGACACTCATTGTCAGTCTTTAGTTGTTTATTTTGGTGAAAAAGTCTTGCATTTTCTTGAATGAGAAAAATAGTTTTCTGTTTTAGCTGCTTGTTTTTATCACAAGATTCCTTCAAGGTATTATGTAATTTTTCAACAAAGGATTCAAGATCATCATCATCTTCATCATCACTATCAGATTGAGAGTGTATGGAAGTTACCTCATTATCTCCAATAGCCATGAAAGCCATTTGAGCTGATTCTTCTTCTTCTTCAACTTCGCCTTCGGAGTTGCATTCATTCCATGTAATTTGGAAGTTGTTGAACCTTGGCTTTCGATCAGCTTTTCCATCTTTCTTTTTCTTTAGAAAGCATTCATTTGCGTAGTGTCTAGGCTGTCCACACTCGTAGCATTTGTCCAATTGTTTCTTGTTGAATTCTTGTTTTCTCTTGTTCCTTGCATTTGAAGACTGATTTTGGAATTGATTGCTAGGTCCTCCCCTTCTAAACTTCCTTTTATTCAAGATTCTTTTGAAGCTTTTTGTGATGAGAGCAAGATCGTTGTCATCACCATCCGAGTTTTCATCATCCAACAGAGCTGGATCATCATCACCTTGGGCTGCCTTCAGAGCTATGTTTCTCTTTGCTCTCGCGTCCTCTTCCTCCTGCACTTTAGTTTTCAACTTCAACTCATAGGAGGTTAGTGAGTTAATGAGAGATTCAATAGGCACAGAATTCAAATCCTTAGCCTCCTCTATTGCAGTCACTTTACTTTCCCATTCTTTGCCTAATGCATTGAGAATTTTCCTGTTTTTCTCTCCCAAGGTGTATTCTTTGCCCAACACCTCGAGATCTTTGATCAAGTCATTGAACCTGCAATACATTTTGTCAATATCCTCAAGGGGTTCTATTTTAAATGATTCATACTTTGTGACCAAGATAGACTTTTTTTGTTCTCTCACGTTGTCACTACCCTCATGAATTTCTCTTAGTTTATCCCATATTTCTTTGACAAATTTACATCCTTTTACTCTAATGGATTCATTTGAGTCTAAGGCACTATAAAGAACATTCATGGCTTTGGCATTCAATGTGAAATTGGTTTTATTTTGAGCATTCAACTCAGCTCTTGTTTTTGGCCGAAACAAACCTGTATCTGCATCAAGAATGTTAGCATCATGCGGTCCTTCATTCACAATAAACCATAGTTTAATATCAATGGATTGCAAAAAGATAATCATTCTTTCTTTCCAACTAACATAATTGGAACCGGTAAATATGGGAGGCCTAGTGACAGATTGCCCTTCAACAAACATGGCATGATTGGTTGTCATCTTTACTCCAAGCTGCTTGAGCTTAATCTCAATGAGACCAATCTCTGATACTAATTGTAAGGCCCAAAGACAACCTAAGACGGGGGAGAATTAGGTTGATTAAAATTACTTGATTTAGTTTATGCACTTTTTCTTTAATAAAAATTTACTTTCTTTTCTAGTAGTGACCAGCCAAGTAAATTTAAAGAAGAGAGCAATGTTGATCAGAAAAGAGAGTGTATATAAGCAATGAGAATTTTATTAAACAAAAAATTAAAATAGAGTATCAAACCGATTGTCTACCAAGCTTTCCTCAAACTTGAAGACCAATCACAAAGATGAGCACCTTCTCTTTGATGAACAATAATCAACTCAATGTACTATGGAGGGATTACTTCTTCCTTGCCCGAAGCCTTATTTAGTCAAGTTAGGAAGTTTTACTATCACTCAGATAACCCTCAACAAAACTACACTATTGAA